ATCTGTTCCTCCTCATTTGTGTAGCAAGAGAAAAGGTAGAAAAAAGATTGAGCCAAATCTGGAGACAGGAATGCAGGGTGTCTTGGGGATGTAAAATAAGATGTAACTCCTGCTCATCTCTCTCTGTGCTCTGACACTGAAACAAAGTGAGCATCATCGGTGCCGTTACGAGATTGTTCATGTGGCAATGGCAGTATTCCCTTGGAGGTGGGTGTCTGTCTTTATCATCTTCTGTAACTGTTTCCCTTATTTAGACAAATGATCACAACCCCTTGTCTGAACATTCGATATCGTTGATTTATATGAGTGCAGTTTAATTCAACATTAAAGGAATTTCAGTTGTACTTTAGTTTGAACTTACGCAGCTTTTAATTTTAGCAATACCCTGAATGCGTGTGTACAAAAACACAGGCAAATAATATAGGACTTAAAACGGTTTGTAGACTTGGCAGGAAAGGTACCAAATCCGATTTTTAATTGTTAACAAGGCTCCTGTAGTTACAGGACTTACAAAGTATACGCTTAAATAAGACAATTGTGTAAAGTGTTTTCACTTGTAAAGTGTTACATCTATTTGGTAGTGCTTATCTCATGTCTGTTCTTGACAAAATGGCACTACTAAAACAGTTTTTTATCATTTGAATTTTTTAATACATGAGCTCATGGCCATGGACATCACAATTACAGAAGCAAGCTCTCATGAGCACTAGGAAAAATCCAGTCTGCACATAATCTTACGAATTAAAAAGCAAAAATTCCACAGAATTTCAGTTCTAAGGTTTAGACTTACAAGTAAATATTAGACATTTGTAAAAATCCCAGCTCCCTGTGTAGTAACAAAGAATTATGCATCTCATGAGACTCGAACAATTTGTGAACTGGAAACAGAGAAGTCCTAACAGCTTTTAAGGTGAAGTACAGAAGCAGTCCTGAGAGGAGAGCTCGTATTTTCTATACCTTGAGTAAACGCTCAGCTACTAACCAGTCCTTGGCAATTTCTTTTGTTGTTTCCTTGTGCCTATCTTCCTTTTCAGCACATTTTCCATTCTAGTTTTCAGGGAGCTGGTTAGAATGATAGAGGGGAGGCAGCAGCACAGAGAGGGAGGCGATGTCAGCGGTGAGAAAACCCGTCCTGTGTCAGAAAGGGTGAGTGTGCATGATAGCGGTGAAGTAGACGGAGCTGTGGCTGCGAGAAACCGCCTAGCAAGCAGCATCTTGAACCTTATAACGATTACACAGCTTGAACAGAAAACGGAACTCCATCCAGAATAGCTTAGAGCTGCGTTGGTTGTGGCACTTTTCAGGGAGACTGGAGATCTCTATTGAAACCACTTAAGCCAACAAGGGAATTAAACTGCTCTCCACTTTCTGACTGTTAGGCTAATTCATAAAGATGGGAAAATTTGAAATGCAGCTAGAGAAAGCTGCGTTATGCAGAAAGCACAGGCCTCTGATGTCTTGTGCTTTCTGTTACAAAGAGGAGCTGAAGCCCCCCGGCTCAGGGACCTGGCTGGAGGAGTGCTTGTTCTTTATGGTTAAATGCCCATGGGAGGGAAGCGCATAGCCAGCTGCAATAAACCATGCAGCACCATTTACGTGAAGAAAGCCAGTTTCAGCACTTGGAAAAAAAAGAGTTTATCTTTGTAGACAATTATAAACATCTCTCTACAGTTTTTCCAGATTAAAAAAAAATACAAAACATTTTCTTTACGAGATGTTTGCCATCTCCCACTGTTGCGTAACTTCTACAGCAAAAGACTCCTTTTTCTGTTGCACTAGCTGTGCTTGTGATTTGAAGACAACAGAAATCCTCTACGTCTTCCATAAGAGGGCTATACTGAAATTACTGATCAAGGCTCACGCCACGCCAGACACCAGCCCCAAATTCTCCGCGGTCCCACGCCCCCCCGCTTCTGACCCAGGACTGGGATGCACTGCGGGCACCAAACCCGGCATGACCTCAAGCGTGTCCTC